CATTTACTTGCCTTGGATAATGAGGAAAAATGGGGTCTCTTAAATGTAGCCCTTTGCTATAAATAGACCATCCATCTTAAATTTAATTATTGTAATTGTCAAAGCAGAGACTTGGAGAGGCAGAGTGGTGTCACAGAAATGTTCCTTGACTGAAGGTGGGCACCTGGTTTCAATTGCAGCTCTGGTGCTCATTAAGTGTGTGGCCCAGGTTGATTAATTTCACATCTTTAGGACCCTCTGTTCTCTAGAGTATCCATTTCCCTCCCTAATGGTTTTCAGTGCATCTTGCCTTTCCACTTTTACTGAGGCTGCCTTAACTCAGGACCTCATCTTTTCTTACTGGGATTATTATAAGAAGCTCCTCTCTGGTTGCCATTTTTCTAATCTTATCTTTTTATGCACCCCAACTCTGCAAGATCACTATCTTTTACATTGCTATCAACAACAGCTTACGAAAACGTAACTTCATCCTATCACTCTCTGAGTTAGAGTCTTCCAAGGTTTCCTGTAACTTTCAAATTAAGATCCAACTCTTTGGCTCGGCATGAAGGAGACTGCAGGAATGGGGGATGCCTGTCTATTGCCCTCTCTCAGGATGTTTTCTGCAAGTCCAGTAATTCCAAAACGATATTTTCCTGAATGTGCCCATTCTGTTTAGCTCTGGATCTTATAATTGTGTGTTGCATTACCCTCTGCCCTCCTTCTACATATTAACTTGGCTCACTCCTTATAATTCTCCAACAGGCTCAGACATTGCCTCCTTCTGGAAGCTTTCCCTGAATGGATCTGGGTCTGTGCATTTGCAGATGTCGCACACTGAGAGACAACCTAGCATAAAGCATCTCAGTGGGCATTGATGGTGACTACTCCCCTTTCTGTCTCCAGCCACTCCTAATAAAATCTGAGTTTTTTGAGGGAAAGGCCCATGCTTTCATCTCTAGTTCTTCTTCAAGAAGCTTGATAAATGCTTGGTGTGCAATAAAAGAAAACAAGATGAATAGATAAAAAGACTGGACTCTAATATTCCATCCATTTATGACATTCTGTGAATGTATACTCATTCAAAATCATTTTGCATTCTAGAAAGTCAGTGGATGGGCTTTTATCTTCCCTTCTGACCTGAAATATAGAAGTGTGAATTAAGTAAGTCTTTGCAGAATAGCAACGAATGTAAATTCTAAATCTGCACCTGATATCAAGTGGCAGCCAACACTGCACTCTTCACCCCCACCCCCTGCTCCATGTCAGTTAGAGTCAACATCCAGAAGAGTCATATTGCACAGGGATATAGGTTAATAGATGCCAACTGCAGTTCAGTGAAGATTAAAAGTGGAGTAACAAGCTAGAGAGAAAAGAGGAAAATGAGAAACTGATAAATGGAAAGTACTTTGGGCTGACCAAAAATTAGATTCATGAAATACTCATTAAGCATGTTCTTCTCAAAGCCAATGTCAATAAACAGAATTTTTTTAAGGGAGAGAAAGTATTAAAGATATGATATTTGGGAAACAAGGGATACTAGAATACAATTTGTGATAAGAAAACAACCACACAGTGGTGAAGAGGAGAGTAAGTGGTTTGGAAGTTAAGCAATGTGGTATCTTCCTGTATCTATTGGTAATGACTATGTGACTCTGGGTTGGTTCCGTAATGTCTCTTGGCTTTTTTTTTTTTTTTTCTTGGCTGTGGACTAGGGGGGCTGATTTATGTAATTCTGAGTTCCTGCCAGTTTGTCATTCTATGAGCCTGCAAACACCATGCAAGAATAAATAATTAATTTAGGCACCTACACAGAGAATGGCTGGGTCTTTCTTTTGGGAAGAAATAGGACAATCAGGAGAGGACCAATTACCCCAAGGGATATTTGGAGAAGAATGAAAATATAAGCCATAGTTATTTGGAGATGCAGACAAACTTCTTATGAAGGAAATCTAGCCAGCTTCCAAACAGAATGAGCTAAGAATTAGCAAAGAAAGCCAAGACCAGCAATGAACTCCATCCATTTTCTAGCCAATCAGAAGTCATGGGCCTGTCTAGGAAGCATGAATTTTTCCCTTGTCACAAATTCCTCCAATTTGGCTGCTGGTAGAGACCTCTTAGATCATCTGGTGGAATACCCTTGTTTAATTTATCTGAGGAAGGTAAATGATCGGCATGAAGTAAGGCCGGCTGTTCTGTTTCCTAATGGCAGTTTTTCTCCTGCCCTCTGCTTGCTCCTACTGTTTTTTATGGTGCCTCGTGGCTATTTCCCTCACCTTATACCTACCCCACACGCTTGTATATTTCCAATACTCCTTCTTTGATATGGGATAAAATGAGTTCTCTGCTACCTGAGGTGGCAAATTTAAATTCAGTTTTCCCACCTTACCTATCCAAATTCTTTGCTCACCTCTCTCTCCCCTAAAGATAACAGCCAGATTATACAACACAGTCTTCTTAATCCAGTGTCAACAAGAAATGAGTATTTGCAGAATTAAGTTTCTCAACTCTTTCAAAGCTATCATTTTATTTATGGAAAACCTTTTTTTTTTTCTTTTTAAGAAAGCAGTGGATGACTTGAGCTGAACATGCCAAAAGACTGACTTTTTAAATTTCCTATGGTTGTACATAACCATTAATTATCATGTTAAGATCTAAATATAATCATGTAAAATGTAGTAATAGTCAGGATAGTATCATTTGAGCCTTCACTAAGTTACCTGGTTTGTGCTACATTTTCTCTCAAATGCTTTTTCAACCTACCCTCTTGTAAAGCTTCTCATCATCTGTAGTATGTATCTCCCTTTGGGGGATAGTTCTTTCTCTGGTTTCCTACTTTTGAGTATTTGAATTCTGTCTGAACAGGAAAAAATTTGATTTTTTTGTTCCCCAGTTTATCTTTCTATGATAAACTATGAGTGAGATGTGCAAGCTTTTGTGTAATGTATCATTTGGTATGTGAGACATGCTTTTTTCTTCTTTTTGCTTTTTAATAAAAACTGAAATAAGAATAAATAAATAATAGTAACCATCCATACCAAATTGTTATCATGTCTAAGCACCTACCTGGAAGAAACAGAATTGGTGATATGGTCTCTATTTACCTTAAAGGAATAGGTAAATTAAAATAATATTGCAAATTGAATTCTAAGATGAAACAAACAAAATGATGACTAAAAGGTAAAGGAGAGGCGCCTGGGTGGCTCAGTCAGCTATGTGTCTGCCTTGGGCTCAGATCATGATCCAGGAGTCATGGGATTGAGTCCCGCATCAGGCTCCCTGCTCAGCAGGGAGTCTGTTTCTCCCTCTGTCCTTCACCCTGCTCGTGCTCTTTCTTGCTCACATGCTCTCTCTCAAATAAATAAGTATAATCTTTAAAAAAAAAAAAAGTACAGGAAATAACAAGTAAAAAGAGAGTAAGAGATTAGCATAAATGTGAATAAAAAAGAATTTGGTTTTGGGCGCCTGGGTGGCTCAGTTGGTGAAGCGACTGCCTTCGGCTCAGGTCATGATCCTGGAGTCCTGGATCGAGTCTTGCATCGGGCTCCCTGCTCAGCAGGGAGTCTGCTTCTCCTTCTGACCCTCCCCCCTCTCATGCTCTCTATCTCATTCTCTCTCTCAAATAAATAAATAAATAAAATCTTTAAAAAAATAAAAATAAAAAAACAATTTGGTTTTATTGGACTATATTTACTACTTGAATTAGCCTCATTTGGTAGGTTCCTCCCTCACCTAAAAACGTGCTTAGTTCAGCAGTTTTAATTCTATTTTCCACATGTGCAAGGAAAATGAAGTTGCTTTATTTCTCCAGTTTCCTAGTTATATTTGATTCCACCTTTTTGTAGCTCTGTAGAATTCTGTTTAGCTTAACACTTATACCGTCCATAAAATTAGGAGAAATGATTTGTAATTAAAGACTTAAATATTTTAACAGGCTACCCCAAAATGCTTCTTAATGAGTGTTATTGTAGTGGGACAATCATGTAGCAGACTTTTTATTTTGTATTTGTTAAATAAATTAGCACATATTATTTTATGTTATATTATTAAAGAAGATAGTATAACTAATGAAATTAGATGCTGCAAACTTGGGATGGTTTAAGTGTTATTTTAAAATTAACTTATTGCACATTTTACTAGAACTTTGACAGAATTTACTTTTAGCTGATTCTGAATTATTTTTATAATAAAAATATCCTATTTAATTACAAAGCACAAGTTATTTTAAACTTTTCTCTGGAAGAAAGAAATCTCAGCTGCTAAATTAATATTGCTATTACAGAGAATTTGCTGAGAAAGACAACAATGTTGAAATTTTACATGCTCTGTGATCATCAAGGAACTTCATTCTCTGGACATCACTACTAAAAACCATCAGACAATTTAGATTGGGCCCACAGGAAATTCATATGTTCACTCTTATGGGGTTGCTAAATGAATTAACGACATGATAATGCTGCAAGGGGGACAGTGGAGCTAAGTTAAGAGATCAAGGTTGAGGAGTATAATTAATATATGGTGAGCGCTGTGAATTGTGTAAGACTGTTGAATCACAGACCTGTACCTCTGAAACAAATAATACATTATATGTTTAAAAAAAAAAAAAAAGAAGAAGAAGAAGAAGATAGTAGGAAGGGAAAAATGAAGGGGGGAACTCGGAGGGGGAGACGAACCATAAGAGACTATGGACTCTGAGAAACAAACTGAGGGTTCTAGAGGGGAGGGGGTGGGGGGATAGGGTTAGCCTGGTGATGGGTATTAAAGAGGGCACGTACTGAATGGAGCACTGGGTGTTATATGCAAACAATGAATCATGAAACACTACATCAAAAACTAATGATATAATGTATGGTGATTAACATAACATAATAAAATAAATAAATAAATAAATAATAAAAAATTAAAAAGTGGAAAAACACCTGTGTTTGTGTCCATGTTTCAATATTATTAAAATGTCAATTTTGATTATTATTAAATTGTCAACTTTATTGACAAGTATTATTATATAATTATTTAATAATTATTATATAATTATTAAAATGTCAATATGACTCAAAGCCATCTACAAATAAAATGCAATTCCTATCAAAATTCCAAAGATTTTTTTGCAGAAAAGGAAAAATCCATTCTAAAATTCATATGGAAGCCCTGAAATACCTAAAATTACCTACAATTTTCAAGAGCCCCTGAAATAGACTTCAAAAAGAACAAAATTGGATGTTTCACACTTCCTGATTTTAAAATTCACTGCAAAGTCACAATAATCAAAACAGGGTATTATTGGCAATGCGGCAGGCATACAAACCAGTAAAATAGAATGGAGAGCCAGGAAATAAACTCTCACATACATGATCAAAAAAAAAAAAATATATATATATATATATGAAATGAGGAATTCCAAATCCCACTATCGACCCCCTTTTTAAAGAGACCATCACACATTTCATAGCTACTTATTTGTTTCTGTATGCAGTCGGAAGTAAACACTGAATACATAATATATGCTAGAGATATTTATGAGAATTTTAATGAAAAATGCAGGAATGTCTAAATTTAAATATTGGTTTTGCCATGGTCAAGTTATGTATCCTTGACAAGTTACTTCACATCTCTGTGTCTCAGTTACCGTTTGTGAAATGAGGTCTTCCTTACAGTACTTGCTTAAGAATTAAAGTTAATAAGGATGCCCGGTGGCTCATTTGGTTAAGCGTCTTCATTGGGTTCAGGTCCTGATCTCAGGGTCCTGGAGTTGAGATTCCAGTCTGGCTTCCTGCTCAGTTGGGAGTCCACTTCTCCCTCTCCCTCTGCTCCTCCGTCTTGCTCACGCACACAGGCTTTCTCTCTCAAATAAATAAATAAAATCTTAAAAAAAGAATTAAAGTTAATAAATACAAGTACATAAAACAGTGCTTGACAGGTAATGGATATTTAACAAGCCCTGTTTCTTTTACTATAATTCCTACTGTTCTTTCCTCAGTGTCCAAATTAGCTTGATTTTTATGCATCATATTTTTTGTACTGACTTGTGTCATTCAGGGAACAGCACGTAATAATAATATGTATTTTTATATTATCATTCGGTTTACAAATCATTTTCACAAATGTTCATGTGAAGAATATTATATTGTATGACTTACCATCGATTATTTTGATAAAGCAACTTTTATATCAAAGGCATAGAAGAACCCAAGGTATTTCTAATTTTCCCATGTTAAGTCAAAATTACTATGAATGTAATTTATTATTTTTACTTTATTGAGGAAAAAATAACTTCACATGGATTTAAAAAAAAAGTTTTTTGTTTGTTTGTTTTTAATGTAAGAAAGTTTTGACCTGGGTATTGAAATGTACATATTTCCTAAGGAGGGCATTTTCTCAAAGCTTTTCCTTTAGGATATGGTACATAGATAAATAACCAGGGTCTGAAACATAATAGAGATTTAATCATTTTTTAAAGGAATTTCAAAATTAATTTCATATGGTATAACTGATAATTACTGTATCTCTACAAAACTTCTCCAGATTTTTTATTTCAATATTTCCCAAGTATTTTCGATACTTAAATCCTTAAGTGAAGCCCTTTGTATTAATGGGCATAACAGGAATTTTAATTCTATGTTCTTCCATCATAGGTGGTTTATTTCATTTTCAATATATCCACCAAACCATCCCCACCACCTACTGATTTCGATCCTAACCTTTGTACCCACAAGCATTCACATTTGTCTCCTGTCTTCACTCAGTGACTACCAAATCCATTATTGATGCATTTCATGTCATAATCAGGGACTTTAGATTGTCATACATTTTCAAAGATGGAATCTTTGACTTAACACCAACTGTACTTCAATCCGCCTCTGTCTTCTTCAAATCCCAATTTCTTCTCTCTCCAGCCTGGACTTCTAGGCTTCTATTATCAAGATACTCAGAGCAGAGATCATTTTGCTGTGATTCTCAAAGTGTTGCTCCTAACTACCTAAATCAGAGTTATCTGTGACACATATAAAAATTCACAGTTCTTTGTCACACTGCCACAACCTAAATCAGAATCTCTAAGTTTGTTTCAATTTACATATCTGAAGAACCATGTGTTTTCATTATGCACATTAAACTTCCAAACCACTGAGATGAGGGGATGTACTTTGTAGACGGGTTTTTATCAACCACCACAAAATAGAAACCTCTAATCCTATTGTTGGTTCCGTGAGAACAGTATCAGAATCCAGGGCTCTTGTGAGCATAAATCACAAACATGTACCATTCTACACTTCTCCTGGGGTAACTGCAAAGTTGCAAATAGGGCTTAATTTTGAATTAAATAGATTAAGTTTCAATTAAGTTTATTTGCTCGTGTAACATACTACTGCAGTTTTTGATACACTAAACAAATCCATTTAAGCTACTATTTTTATGAATTTTTAGGATATTCATGACAATCACTTACATATATTCTCTATATTTTCCATCAGTATCACTAAAGAAAAATGTATTAAGCACTTACAATATACAGGCACAATGCTCTTAGCATTTTACATTCATTATCACATTTGATTCTCCCAGTGAATTGTTGGGAGAAATAATAATTATTCCCAGTTTTACATATGGGAAACTGAGGCTTGGAAAAATCCAGTAAATCATAGTACATGGTAGAACTAAGATTCTAACTCAAGTCTATATGATTCCACATGTCATGTTTCAGGTTTTTATGCATTAGATTATTATTTGCTGTTCGCATGGTAAGTTTCTAAAAGGAGATTTGTCTTCCACAGCCTCATATAATCTTTACATTATTAATATTAACACCATACATGCAACATGCAACATACGCATAACACAATAGTAAAGTCAAGAAAGCAAATATTTACCAACTCTTTTTTTTTTTTAAGGTTTTATTTATTTGACAGAGAGTTAGAGAGCACAAGTAGGCAGAGAGGCAGGGAGAGGGAGAGGGAGAAACAGGCTTCCCACTGAGCAGGAAGCCCAATGAAGGCTCCATCCCAGGACCCTGGGATCATGACCTGAGCCGAAGGCAGCTGCTTAACCAACTGAGCCACCCAGGCACCCCGAATATTTACCAACCCTATTCAACACATATCCCTCCCCAAATCTTACCTTGTAGATGTAATCAGATGACCATTTCAAACATTTGGGGTCTATAGGTTTAGTCTATGTGAATTATGATTATCAATCTCATCTATTTTCCCAGTATAAATAACCCTGTAATAATAGTGAAAGTAAGTTAAGGGCAGATACACTCAACCCATAAATAGCATTCCTGATTGAATAAAATATCAAGATAAATGTTCATAATAAAGTGAAACCTAAGTCAATGGATTCAATATGATTTAATTAGTTGTGTGCTTAATGTCCCAAATCCCACATTTTCTCTCATTTAATTTCTATGTTAAGATTACATCTGGAACCACGATGCTTCAGTAGATAATTGATTAAAGTAACTAAGTGATTGGAAACATATAATTAGGAATCAGACACAAACATGAGTGAGTTAAATCCACCTCAATTGTAACTGGTGTGCATTTAGTGAAATTTGCCTAAAAGCAAAGCTTTGCTATATTGATTTAGAGTCAGAAAGGAACACAAAAGTCAAAAGATATAGCCCCAAATCTGAAAGCAATCCAAATCACCGTCCAAGATATTTCTGAGTCCTAGTGTTAAAGATGATTATTTGATACATTTAAGAAAATAGACAAATGTTTAAGTGCACAGTACCTTATTGTTAACTATAGGCACTGTGTTGTACAGCATATCTACCCATTGGACAAAATCCCCCTCCTCCATCCCCTGATAATCATCATTATATTATATATTTCTATACCTTTGACAATTTCAGGTGCCTTATATAAGAGGAATCATGAAGTATTTATCCTGTGACTGACTTATTTCACTTAGCTTAAGGTCTCCCAGGGCCATCCATGTTGTCACAAATGATAGGATTTCCTTCTTTTTAGAGGTTGAATAATATTCCACTGTGTGTTTATACATTTTCTTCATCCATTCATCAGTCAGTGGACATCTGGGTTGTTTTTATATCTTGGCTATTGTGAAAAATACTGCAGTGAACCTGGGAACTCTTCAAGATCCCGATTTTAATTCTTTTGGATATATACTCAGAAATGGGATTACTGGATTATATAGTAGTTCTAGTTTTAATTTTTTGAGGAATGTCCATACTATCTTTCATTGCTTTACCAATTTACATTCCCAGCAACAGTGCACAAGGGTTTCAATTCCTCCACAACCTTGCCAACACTTGTGTTGTTTTTGGTAATAGCCATCTTAATAGATGTGAGCTGATTTCTCTTTTATAAAGATTTATTTATTTATTTGAGAGAAACAGAGTGAGAGAGCAAGAGAGAGACCGAGAGAGAGAGAAAGAAAGAGAGAGGGAGCATCTACGGCCATCCCACCCTGTGTGTGCCCGACCTCATCTGATCTGGGAAGCTAAGCAGGGTCGGGCCTGGTTAGTAATTGGATGGGAGAGAGAGGGAGCGCGTCAGTGGGGGGAGGGGCAGAGGGAGAGGAAGAGAGGGAATCTCAAGCAGATTCTGGCTAAATACTGAGCCTGATGCAGGGCTCAATCTCATGATCCTGAGATCACAACCTGAGCCAAAATCTAGAATCTAATGCTCAACCGAATGAGCAACCCAGCTGCCCCTCTTTGTGGTTTTGTTTTACATTTCACTGATGATTGATGCTGACCATCTTTTTGTATACTTGCTTGCCATTTGTATGTCTTTGGTAAAAGGTCTTTTCAAGTCCTTTGTCCACTGTTTAATTGGGTTACTTTATTATTGCTATCATTTCTATTGAATTGCTTATATATTTTGGAAATTAATCCCTTATCAGATGTATGGTTTGAAAGTATTTTCTCCCATCCCGTATTTTGCCTTTTAACTCATTGATTGTTTCCTTTGTTGTGTACAACCTTTTTTGTGTGACGGAGTCCCACTTATGTATTTTTGCTTTTGTTCCCTATACTTTTGGTGTGCATATCCAAGAAACCATTTATCAGGAGGATAGTGTTAACTGTTAAGTGTTTTTACAACAAAACACACACACACACACAAATAGTAAAAACAAATAAACAAAGAGAAACAAATGAACAAAAAGAAACACAGGAAAATTTTAGAGCTGATGAATATGTTTTATGATCTGGACCGCAGTGATGGTAATACCAGTGTGCCCATATGTCTAGACTCAACAAATTGCAAACATTGTTATGTGCAGTTTTTGTATACCAAATGTATCTTAATAAAGAAGCTGGAAAATTTTAAGAAAACAGCCATTAGGAAATAGTCACACTTACTTAAAAATGCTCCTCAGGTTGACTCCCTCCCTTCTTTCGCCCTCAGATAGTATCTAACCTACCAAGTTTCCATATGATTCAGACTGCTCCAGCTGGTTATCTGTGCAGTAATAAGAATAACAATATGTTGCCAATCAGCATTTAACTGATAAATACCATCAGAATTTAGACATTAAAATGCACATTTTTTAACCCATCAGATATTTGACATTGTCTTGTACAAGGATTGCACTGATGGCTCCTATTAATAACCCACCTATAGCCACGTGGTTTGTCCTATAATTTTTGCCCTGTAGACCTCTCTCACTCTGACTCTGGCTCAGCTACGTTACTTGATTTGGCCAGTAGAATATTAGAAGGCTTGACATAAACCAAGCCTTGAAAAATCTCTTGCACATTTACATTTCTTTTTCTTGCTTCCCTGCAATAATTGTTAGAACAGATTTGAGCTAGCCTGGGGACAAGGCTGTGCTAGCCTGCTGGAGAATGAAAGAACATATGGAACACAGGCAAATCATTTTAACCCAAGCCTCAGACACGTGTGAGAACACAGACATCATCAGCAAAACCATCTAACCAGCACTCAGCTGATTGTAGACATCAGTTCAATTCATCTATCCACTAGGATCATGAGAAATAATAGACAACTGCTTATTTATGCTAGTATGTTTTGGAGAGATAGCAGTAATAGCTAATGGACATACATGGAAGAATATTTTATGAAGGATATTGAATTATACCAGTTACACGATCTCTCTTATTTGCAAATGCAGATATGGAGGAGTGCACTTTCTTTCAGTATAAATTTGAGATTGTCAGTGCTCCTAAGGGCTTGTGAAGGGTTGTAAGGTGTTATATCAGAAAAAACAGGATAACTAAATTTGTTGAGATATATCTCCCCCTGTAGCAGTCATAGATATACATGTATTGGACTTAGATCAAGTCAGAAAACATTAATTTCGTAAGCAAATGTGTTCTTGGCAAAACAATAACACCATCAAAATAGATTCTTGTATTATCATTAGCAATACAAAAATAATTTATGTTCATACTCTGCAGATAAACGATTTTGCATAATTTTTTCTACCTTAGCAACAAAAATTATAAAAATTTAACTATTCTTTTTTGAACCTCCTTATCCCCTGCCCTCTACTAAAAACAGTTACTGGCTTCCTTTTTTTTTTTTTTTTCCTTCTGGTTTTATACCCAAGTTGAAAATAAATATTTAATTTTGCTTCGGCAGTTTCTATGTCCTGTGGCCAAATGCAAACATGGCATTAGATTTCTTATGGAGGATTTTAGCCACACCTGGCAAAATTCTGTTTTGCTTCAGTTACTTGTCTTGATTACAAATTTATGGAAGAAGGCAAATGCAGAAACCTGGTTGCAAGCCTGATGAAGTCAATGATGAGTTGCATGACCTTGGGCAATTAACTTCATATCTACCTGATTCTGTTTACTCGTGAGGGAGATGAGAGAGCGAGAACCAAATATCTTCCATGCCTTTCATGCCTTGAGGAAGCAGATTGGAAATTTAAGAATATGGAATTTAGAGACAAGCAGACTTTATTCAAATCCCAGCTCAACTATTTACAATGCGGCATTGAGTATTTTAATTATTGAGCTTCTGCTTTATCATTTGTAAAAGGAGAATAAGAATATTTTAAGGGCTTTTGGATGGATTAAATGGGTTAGGACACTTTTGTCTTCAATGTTGCAAACCTCAGGTCTTCAAAGGGGCCCTCAAAGAATAGCACCTCTATTCTCTTAGGTTCTGAACATTTTGAGAAATAAGACAAGGAGTAGATATGGAGACCAACATATCCTTAATGTCAATGGAAAAAATGTGGCTTTGAGAGAGAGCCAAGTGAGTTTTCTAAGTAAACCCCAGAATTGGGCAAATTTTCCCCACCAATCACAGACAGAGATGGAACAGAGCACGATGAGAGTTTACATAACATTTAGCACAGGGTGGAGCAGAAGGAAACACAGGCTTTTGTGGAGTAATCTTGCTCCCAAGCAAAATAAAGGGCAGAGCTGAGCCCAACATGCACACATCACAAATTATCAATCAGATAATTCACTTTATCTTCCCTTGGTCAGGATGAGGGTAACAACAGAGAAGCCAATGATTACAACCGCATTCTCTCTTCAGGAAGAATGCTTTAGAATGGGTTAGAAGTATGGACAGCCTATAATAAGCAACCAATATCCAGTATTTACTGTGATTATTTTTGTAATGTTACATTAGCTTTTTTAGATCACTAGGATTTCATTTAGATTGCTTTTCTGTGCAGTTACTTTCACTTATATAAAAGAATGATCAGATAAGATGGGAGGAATTAATTCCTATCTTGCTGAATTGTTTCTTTCTAGACATACTTCTTTCCAGAATACTTGGTAAAATTCTGTCCAAAGTACTAAAGGTTGCCAAATGTTACTCCTATACTTGCAATATTAATTAGAAAGACAGTCTTTATGAAACTACTGTGTCATTATAACCTACATTATAGGTTAGTGAATCTCAAAACATCTATACAAAAATAGAGTGAATGGCAATTGGTTGGGATGGTAATAAAATGTGGTCAAGATCAATGGATCACAGAGATTAAAACTGATCAAAATTTAATATGTGTGTTATCCTTAGATATGAGAACAAGACTTCTGCAACTTTTAAATTTTCTGAGATGCATAAAAATTCTCAAAACCAGAGCTCACATTCATAGAAACAACATTTGGGATTAGCATTAGTTAAAGTCAAAGTAAAATTGATTTGTCCAAGAAGAATACTGAATTTTGCCGTATTTCCTAAACAGAGAATTCTACCTGAAGACTTATAGCTAGTCATTATTTTAGAAGAAATCTCACATTGGACCCCTGACTTAAACTTTACTTCCTGTGAAGTTAAGTAACATCTTTTCCTACCATAACAATGTATCATGAGGCTACCATAAGACATCTAGTAGGAAAGTGTTTTAAATAGTATCAATACTAACAAACACTTGAAATTACTTTTGGCTGTGTTTTCAGTTGTTTTCTGAATTTAAGTCCTAAGTTTCTGGTGTCCTTCACTGGCTTTTGTTTTTTGTCACTACTCGAGGCAAATGATGTAAAGATAACCTTATAAATTTATCCAAAGTATGACACTACAACCGACTAATGTGAATATTGGTGGGGGAACTACATGAAATTGATTAGGAAAGAAGTATGTAAGAGATTCTTACCTTGTCTGCAGGGCTTGTGTGTGCAGGTTTGATCGAGTGGGAAGGAAAGACCCTGATACAAAGCCTTAAACATTGGCAACACTAAATACACTGATAGCTGTAGAGACAAAATAAGTTTATCATCCTTAAATGTTCAGGTGAGCTTCCTTCTAGTGAGATCCTATCAAGAAAGTGAAGGATATGGTCCCATTGTCTCTGTATGCAATTAATTTGTCCTTAAATCCTACAAGGACTGTCCTAAGAAGAAAGTGAATATTCAAGTGAAAAAAGAATTAAGTCATCCCAACAAGAATTATTTTAGCAAGAATAGGCCAGGGTTTCTAGTCCCACAAAGCTACAGTAGCCCCAGGCAGAAGGGGGGAGAGAGAAATAAAGCCCCCCCATTCTACATTAAAGCTAAAAATGCCTTCTGATAGGAGGACACCCTGTAATTTTGTTTTAATGTCTTCAGTAGAATGGTGCCATTTAGTTCAGCTTTTAATGTGGCCTTAAATTGCTATTTTATTAGCCTTGTTGACATTCTGGAAGCATGAAATTAGCAAATCACATTAAAGAAGCAAACAAAAAAAGCAAGAAACCTCAGCCTAGTTAAACAATGCCAGCATAATCCACTTATTTGAATAATGTTCTTACCTTAAAACACCAACCATATATTTATTTGAAGGTTTCTTTTTCCATAGCCAATGAATTAGTTTTATGAATAATTGCATATTCCATTACATTGCAAATGTATGCACTCATGGTGACCTTGAAAGATGCTTTGTGCTGTGTGGGAGAAAGAAGATCCTTTGTAACTCTTCTGCTTCCTTCTGAGAAATGACTCCTTTGGACTCCACTTGATGAAAGCATCCTGTTCTTAAAACAATACTTGTCAGTATTTTTGCTGCTCCACCCAGAAGGCACTTCCTTCTGTTACAGCGATGATTTTATTTCAAACAAAAGCAATTTTACAGTTACAGAGTGAAAATGGTTTCAATCAAGATATCTTTATTCTGCTATATGGACCTAACTTATACACCTAGCATACACATAGCTTAGCCTAGCCTCCCTTAAATGGGCACAGAACACTTACATTAGCCTATGGTTGGGCAAAATCATCAAATGCAAAGACTGCTTTATAATAAAGTGTTGAATATCTCATGTAATGTATTGACTATGGGACTGAATGTGAAACCAGAATGGTTGTATGGCTACAGAATGATTGTAAGTGGGTTGTTCAATGCCGTGATTGCATGGGTGAGTAGGAACTGAGCCTTGCCCCTGCTGCCTAGCAGCACGAGAGAGGATCCTCCAGCAAATGGCTTGCCTGGGAAAAGATCTAAATTCAAAATTCAGCATGTGGTTTCCACTGAATACTTATCACTTTTATGTCATTGTAAAGTTGAAAAATTGTGAGTCAAGCCATCATAATTGGAGGACTGTCTGTAATTCAAATGTAGCTAATTATGCAGTTTTTTCTTACAAACTAAAAGTGTTAATGTAAAATAAATTAGTATCTTTACCTACTCTTGTCTTATTAAATAAAGGAGGCAACCTCAAGTATTCATTTCAGTGGAGTGTGATAAAGGGCAGGCTTTTTATAGTATACCTTTTTATTTTTAGCTCTTGGACATCCGTGTTCCCTTTTTTAACAGTGCCCTAATTTCATTATGAGAAATTAGCACTCCCTCATTGGAATTAGGCTGGTAAGGCTGTAATTAAAGTTTTTCTTCCTCTACTAGCCAGGGAGTGGAAGGAAAACTCAAAACTAGGCTAATCTGATGACCTTGTCATTAGTTTTGAATTTTGAGATCAAAGGGACTGAAAATTCTTGGAATTCCCTTATCACAAGTGACACCTGTGTTTTCCAGAATATAGGGCCCAGCCTGTTGAGGCTTGAATCCTGACTATCACTTCCTAGGTGTGTGACATTAAACAGGGAACTTAACCACGTCGCCTTAGTTTGCTCATTTATAAATGGAGAGAATGACAGCCCCAAATTCGTAAGGTCATGCATGACTAAAGGAGCTAACAGATGTGAATACATAGTAGAGGATGCATGTTGGCTATTGGTATTATTTTTGCACATCCCAGCAATGCTACCTGGACCATTTTACTTGTCTCTGGTAGCTTTTTTTGGGAGGGGGGAGGCCCGCAGGGCAAGAGCTCCTGTTTCCCAGCCTCCAGCTCTGCCTTGGTACTCCTCATTTCTAAGGTGGTTCTCCATTCTCCTGTTGATTCTGAGTCTCTGGTGATCTTCCAATAAATTATTTTATGTTTAACTCAGAGTAATTTTCTGACAGTCACAATGAAAGAATCTTAATCTTTTCTGATACACGCTTATATCAACATGATGTAGTTTCTTTTTTTTTTTTTTTAAAGTAGGCTCCACTCCTAGTATGGAACCTAACATGGGGCTTGAACTCATGACCCTGAGATCAAAAACTGAGCTGAGATCAAGAGTTGGGTGTTTAACTGACTGAGCCACCCCAGTACCCAAACATGATGTAGTTTCTAGACAGATTCAGCACAGATTGTAATGTGTTAATTTTAAAAAGCCAAGCTATAGAAATAGGCAGATAAAGAACCTGATGTTCAACCCAACACAGTAAGATATATATGAAGTCCAAATATTAAAAGTTGGAAGGTATGCCTTTGGTTAAGTTGTCCACAAAATGATTCAATAAATTATCAGCCACAATCAGCAATGTAGTATATATTTCTTTTGCAACAGGTAAGTTTGAATCCATGAGATGTATACATATATACATTCTCTTGAGAAGAATAATGCAATTAAGGTTATAAAGTGTTCTTTCATCTTTTGGGTCCTATACTTAAAGCAGGAAATTAAGACTTTAATGAGGACCCAAAGGAGAAGAGAGAAAATTATTAAAATAATGAGGAAAAGATTATATAAGAAAAGACTAGAAGAATTGAGAATTTTCAGAACAAAAAAGTAAGGCTCTATAAAGTGTTACCTTTCCTTACATATTGAGGATTATTTTATGAATGGTGATACATGTCTCTTTCAGATATATACTAAGTAGTTTTGCTTGTGAAATAGAGGCTAGACAGTACAAAGAGTTTATAGACTCCACATTTTATAAGAAATAGAAATAAAGAATCAAATAAAGTTTGGAAAATTTGGAATACAGTTCTTTCAGAATTTCTTATGGAAACGAGGATATGACATGATTTGGCTCAGAGTAAACGAAGGTCCATAGTTGCTCTCAGTAATGCATAGATGTGGCAGACTAGATTTAGGTCCACCTGCCTCCATGTCAAAGCTTTATTATTTAAATATCTCTACCAAAAATTCAAGGAGTCTTTCTTCACCAATGACAAGTTCAGGCCAGACAAGAGAAATCTGAAATAGTTTTAAGTGCTCATTCATCTCATCTTGAATTGGCCCAGCAAGTGGACAGAGGAACATTCCAACTTAAGGCCACCAAGCCAGCAGTTTGGTGATTCTTTGTGCTGAAATAAACAGGGCCCCAGATTTCGATTCTTATGGACACATTAAGCAGCAAGACTTCATGCCTGTGAGATGGCTTTAGTTGGTTTTAATTTAGAATGTCTCTAAATTAAAGTGTCTTTTCTCTTCATTGGTATCTTTGCATTCCATAATAAAATTGCCTATCCTAATTTTATGGGAAATAGAGCAACTTGACAGATTTGTAGTATCGACTGATAGAAAATGAAGGAAAAGTGGTTATAATCCACATTCTACTGTTAAATGGTTCTTAGGATTTGAAGAATGGTCTGAGGTGTCTGTTTCAGCTGTGTTCTCTGGAAAATGAAGACACTCATGAAGTCTTCATCTGCATCATGTTCTGTAGAAAGTTACTGTGAGTAACTGGAATACAAAGGTGGACACATCTTCTAGTCTCATCTTATACAAAACCCAAAATATAAGATAAATAGGATTCACAGATACTTTTTAGGATAGAATCATTATTTGTGCCAATGAAATAAAAATTTAAAGTCTAGAATAAAGACTTCTTTTTACAAATACTTATATAGTATTTCTAGTCAACTTAAAATATTTAATTTCATCATCATAGCAATGTGATTCAGGCCTTACTACTACTACTATTATTATTATTATTATTATTATTATTATTATTATTATTATTATTTTAAAGATGTATTTATTTATTTTAGAGAGATAAAGAGAGACAGCACATGCAAGCAGGGGAGAGGCAGAGGGAGAGGGAGAGAAAGAATCTCCAGTAGACTCTGCTGAGCAAGGAGCCCAACAGAGTTCGATCCCATGACCCTGAGATCATGATCTGAGCCAAAATCAAGAGTCAGAGGCTTAATTGACTGAGCAACCCAGGCACTCAGGTCTTATTATTATTATCTGCATTTTATGAATAAGGAAATTGAGGCCTAGAATGATTGAGTAACCCATCCAATTGTACACAGCTATAGTGAGGGGGAGTCAAATTTAAACCCAGGAATGCTAACTACAAACTCTGTGCTCATAACCACTATATATTCTGCTTCATTGGAACATTCTTATGAACAATATAAGCCCCAAACAAGGGAAGTTAATCCAAGAGATGTAGTAAAGTTTTGACCTGGTGCACATCTTTTCTAGACAACTAAGATTTCTCCCAGTGTGGTGTTCTACTCTTCACAGAGGAGATGCTGAAAATATTATAATGGGTGCCTTATGTAAGCAAATCATGTCCAAAAAGCTCTTTGAGGGGTTTTTCCTCCAGATGCTCATAGTGCTACTTGTACTTCTATCTCCTGGAAAATAACAAAGTCAAGATGGTCTTCTATTTGCAGTTGAGTATTTAAATTGTCAAGTTGTAAGTGACAAAAATGTTCTTTCAGGAAGTCTGCTACAGCTATTGACGTTATCAGCCAAAAATCCAGGTTGCTGTCCAAAGTTTCAAGAAACTGAGATTTTTTAAATCAAAGAGTTATGTAATGGGAATGCAGAAAGCAACAAAAGGAACAAAAAGAAGGGAGACAAGTCTAGTGGAATATGTCTATTTCTAATGCTAGAGTACGGACAATGACCTTAGGTGAAAATAATAGGGTTGAATAAAATCCAACTATGGGTGTAGTTGGGTTACATCACAAAGCACTCTTAAGATGTCTTTCCAATTATTAACTGCTAATATTCTGAAAAACAAAATGTATACCCACTTCCACTTTATAAAATTATTTTGTACCACCTTGCTGAGAAGGACTAAGAAAGGTAAAACTATATTATGAATATAGACTTCTGGGAAACTTTCCATCTCAGAAAAATGGGCACCATTGAATACTAGTAAGATTGGTTCTGCAAACACATTTAGATCACACCACTAAAAAAACATTATTAGGTATTGTACACACAAGGGCCTTTCATTCAGGAATTTAGGGGAGCAAGTATTTGAGATGTTTGATTCCATTTTCTACTTATGCTCTCTTATGCTATGGAAATCACTATGGATATAGACAACATTCAGGACATATGGTCAACCATTTATTCTGACTTTCAACAAATATTGCCCAAGGATTCCTATGTTAGATATTGTACTAAAAGATGGGATTTATTAGGAAGTGCACAATACTCTGTGGAGCCTATAGTCTAAATAGAGAAGAGGGATATTTAAAAAAATTAAAATGAAATTGAAAAATTTGAAAAATATTATGAAGGAAGTGAAGTTTTACTTTGAGAATAATTGGGGTGTGAGGGCAATCCTGGAAGACTGGGCAGGCTGCTGTGAGTGAACAAGCAACAGCTTTCTATTCTTGAATATTTCCTAGCTCAGACACACCCTACCAAGTAATTAAGCAATATGACCTACTTAAAGGAACACAGGCATT